CAAATCCTCTGACAAAACCCTTAGCGAGAAATATGATTTTAGAAACATCGAGGGGAATGAAACTTAAGCTACTTGCAAACAAATAGGTGATGGTAATTCAATCTTTGTGATTGGAGATCCCATGAATAAGGTTCATATGGGTAAAAACAAGTCATTTGTTAATTTTGCTAGCACTAAAATTGATTAAAATCAATTATGTCCATTCCTATGATGTATATGTGAAAGTGCTAGATACTGCATCATTGAGATATTAAACTTTGTAATTTAAAATTACATGTGGTGTACGAATTTTAGTATAAACAAAGTTTTTAACGATTTTATATCTCTTACGGGTGGTGTATGATTTGCAGCATACGCTTGATGAAGTCGCGTATATGAGTGTTGAGTGGGGTCACTTGTATGAGATCTTTGCAAAATTTTTAGAGCACTCATGAATATCGGGTACGTGCATGGCCTAGTAAGCGCAACACAGCGATAATAACAAGAATTGTAGAGGTGTATTGTGATTGTTAAACCACTGACACACACTAAGTGTTTTGGTTCATATAATTTGCTACACCAACTACAATGTGTTAAGTTTTCAACCAGTCTAAGACTGGTTCATATAGTTTGCTATATCAGCTCTGATGCATTACATCTTATATAAGACCCAAAATTTTCTCCTTCTTGTTTTTGCAATATGTGGGGGATTGTTATGAAATTGTATTGCAGAAAAACAAGGAACTCACTCTCACACATTGTAGAGAATGTTACAGAGAATGTTGCATACCCATTAACAAGTCTTCCTCTAACTGCTACAGATATTTTTTCCTTATTTCATCGCACTTCCTAAGTATTGGAGAGTGAGGTGGTTATTGGTGAATTTTTTGGATGTAGGTAGTTAGGGTTTAGGCCCAATCTACACCTATAAATAGATATCACTTCACACTCTTTCAAAACACACATCTCTAATCTTCTCTTCTATATTTTCGTCCCGTTCTACTATTATCCTGGGTTTATTTACTCTTTTAAGAGTTTCTTGCTAGTTTTTGAGATCCTTGGAAATTTCGAGCAGATAAGTCCTTAAGGACAGTGATTATACACACCTTTGTAATAAAGTTTGTTTGTATCTTTGTCATCTTTTACAACATTTATCACCTCAAAAGTAAACAAAATATAAATTTATACTACTCTTTCTCCAAACCTATTCCTGTGAGATCTATCACCTGTAAAATCTGCTCCCCTGTAAATGCACGATCATCACAGTTAAAAACATATACAAAACACACAAGGTAAGTTAGTAATTCAATTTAAGTATGCAAGATTCAAATGTGAGATAAAATAACATAATTCAACTTTAATTTTTCATATATCACATCACACGCCCATACAGGCTCACATTCACGTCACACAGATACTAGACGACTTCCGGAATACTAGATATTAAAATAGATATCAGATATATGCACTTATCACACCACAACTCCCCCAAGTACATAACACAAAGGTCCTCAGTTTGGTATATACACTCACGTGTGATCAAGTAAATTTTGACTTATCAAGACATAATTCTTTTTTACACCGCAGGCTAAGTCATTAAAAATCTCCTTCAACTCTCATCACCTTATCATTTCATCTCTGTGATTCCAGTTATCAATAGAGTCATGATATCTTATCGAGTTTCAAATAAATATATATATATATATATATATATATATATATATATATATATATATATATATAACACCACACACATGAGAATACCTCTTAGTATTTCTCATATCACAACATAATATATTTCAAGGCATATAATAGCATTCAACATACAACATTTCATGTTCATAACATGTATTTTAATAGCTTAAGGCACACACACATCATTTCTCACATTATAACAAAACATAATTTTTTTTTAATTTGACCTTTATTTATTCTTTTAATCATACTTTTTTTTATAGACATCATTTTTAATTATTTTTTATTTCATTGGATTCCTTATTTATGGGGATTTGATTTTCATATATAGAACATTAAACTTGGAGTTCGAAACTCTTTTTTATGATTTTTTGAAAGTTGCTAAGCAAATATGAAAGTGTTAAGTGAATTTGAAAGAGTTGAGCGAATTTTAAATCCGTTGAGCGAATTGCAAGAACTTTCAATATTGTCTTAAATTTATTGAGCAAATTTAAATCTACTTAATATTATGTTTCTAATGTTCCAAATCAAATTAATTCTAAATCTTACCTTCCTTATTATAAATCAATTCACAAAATTTAATTCAAGAACAATACATTCATACAAAAGACTATCTTTTGTTTCAATTTCATGTAAATCACTCATACATTCACATTAAATATAATCATCACAAATCAACACATATATAATCACACAACCTAAATTCCCGAAACTCAAATAATGTGATGAAGTCACCTTCACAATCCATATCTTCTAGCCTACAGTATTATAAAAATTGAAGAATAACTAGTTTTCCTTATCTCAATTTATTGTTCCAAGTTAAAAAACTCAAAAAACTCATAAATTAACAAATTAAACATATCATAATACTCATAAACTAATCAAAATTCATCTTTTCACAATAAAGTTTACATGCAAGCCCACCCACATGCAGACCTAAACCTAAAATATGCAAAATATTCTAAAATTAGGAAAGAAAAAACTTACTTTATTCAAAATTTTGATCCAGACGAATTGATTTCCTCTCTTTCAGGAACACTAAAGGGCTTGAATCTAGAAAAAAATGAGAGATGGAGCAAGAGATTTAGATAGAAGGCAAAAAAAAACTTGCAGGAGATGGTGATTTTGTAATAATTAAGTTTGAATGTTTAAATTTTTTTATTTATAATTCTTTTTAACTTAAACCATAAAATTTCAAATTTTGTGATATTCGTAATTCACTTAAATTGGTCCTCACACGAAGTAATTTTAAAGAAATAAAACAATTGATTAAAAAGTTTGACAACTTATTTCATCCATATAAAAAATAAAAAACTATGACTAAATTTAATAGAAACATAAAAACAATAACACATTTTTGTTTCATTTTCGAGGAAAAATCTGAGTTAGATAACCGTTTTTTTTTAACTATGATGTATTGTAATTTCCTAGAAAAATCTGACTAAATTCATAAATTAATCTTTCCCATTCTTTAATAAAAAACTCTACGATTAAACAAACTTTCATGACCTTAAAAAACAACAAATTTCTCACGGTCTTTAATTAAAAGTCGAAACAATTTCATGATACTTTCACCCTTTAATTTGTACTACATTGGGGTTCCTAAACACAAGTCTACAATTCTGTCACTGTATTTGTTTACTTTTCATTATTTCTTGCATTGATACCACCATATGAACATATGAACTTAGAAAATTCACCATCAATGAAAAAAAAAATTAATCTTAATTTTATTGCGTCTCTTATATGTACAACATTATCGTGTAACAACATGGTTTTTGATGTGATCTTACATTGTTTTTGTTCCGGCCATGAAACCTGTACTTATTAGGCTTCGATTTGTACTCATGCAAATATGAAGTAAAAAGGTTAGGCTTCATCAATCTGTGTATTGAGGAATAAAGATAAACTCTTACCAATGGAAGAGTTGGGCAAACCAACAATATAATTATGATTACGTTTACTTTGTTTTTGTGTTTTTATACATTATCACCATGATATGAATGTAGATTTGGCGCACCCACCATATAACATTGTCAAATTTGGTATTGATGTGATGTTACATTGTTTTGTGGAATACACCTGTGTCCACACACCAAATATGCATATGCAATTGCAAGTCTTAATAAAACTACGGTTTTATCAGTGCCTGTTTTGGACTAAAAGCCATTACTATTCGAATAGTTCGACAAATCCCACTTACATAGGGTTCTCAGCAGCTCAATGCTATCATAAAAGAAACTGAAGAATTCTATAGGTGTTAAATCTTTTTTTTTTCATGAATTTAATTTGAATACATTAACAATATTAATTATTTTAGATAACTCTGATTACATATTATATATAATAAGTTTATTAGTTTAATGATGATTATCTTAGAAGTCATATAAATTATTTTTACTTACTTGACATGTAAAAGAATTTACACTAACATTATTGAACTCTTTTTTAAGATTTCCATTTTAAATTTAAATCTCTCTATTTCTCTCTTTCCTCATTAGTATTTTACATTATTATATCCATTATTTGTCTTATATACCCAATAAGGACGTCCAATTATCTTTCTCTGTAAGTTCATAATAAGGAGTATATGAGATTAAACTTTTTACTTTCAGCTAGAAAATACCTCAAGTAATCCAAAAATTAATGGCTTAATAAGATGATGTTATTTATACAGCCCAGGCCTAGATAGAGAGAAAACGAGCTGGACTTAATGATAAATGTAGAGTCCACTCGTGTTGGACCACCGTGGATATATCTATCCATTATTAAGCACACGTATACTTGTTTATGACTAGATTTGTGTAGGGTCACAAACACTTTCAATATGTAATATATCATATATATTGCAAGGTTTCCACCTATTTATGCACATTTTTTATCTGCATAGAACAAAGGAGGAACTACTAGTTACAGACCCAAACCTTCCTAAAAATACAAGTAACATTGTGATGAAAAACATTATAGCTAGACCATGATTATGGCACACTAACACCGTGACTGTTGAGCAAATGCCACAATGCTTACCAGTTACCACAATCAAAGACTTCAGTCAGTAAAAAATGTCGCAGTTTCAAAAGGTTTCTAGAACATCATATAAGCTTCTCTTTTGGACAATGAAGCAGTCACAACAATCAGCCATTGCTTTCATCACATTCTATCATATTAACTCTAATCCTCATCATGCTAGTATATATGATTATGATATCGGTGAATGTAAGCACAGGAGTGCTATGCATAAGAATCATGGCTCATGGCTATTACCACATTGCTTAAGTATTAGACCTAAGAGCCTTGACAATCTCTGCATGCAGCGTTATTTATCTCTATTGTGAAGTTTGCTTTCTTCTGAAGACACCCCACAAATAATATTTATCTTCAAATCCTGCCCAAAGGACAATAAAGTTTAAAGGCGATCTTAAGTCATATGGATAAAATTATATTTAAATGAGCCTCCGAAGAGGTAGAATAAATGAAGCTCACTCCAATAAGAGATTGGAAGCTCTGTGGAAGGAAAAATTAAAAGCTCTGAATTTTTAGCCACAAATCTTATGGCATATTCATGGCAAATGACATCATCAACCAGGGCATCGAAGACCTTCTCAGATCTGCCAAGGAAGAAATATTTAGGTAAGTCAAATTATAGAAAGATAGTAATAGCATTATGTAAAAAGTGTCAGAGAAAAATCACCCTTCACTGTCAGGAAAGAAAAAAAGAGCAATGTCATGATCAGTTGGCTCCCTAGTCTTGAAACTTTCAGGCCACACAATAGATCTTGGAAGAATTTCAGCATGAAGCACTTCTGGGAAATGTCCTGTCTCCTCTACAACTTTGGAGCATGCTAAATCAGACATATGAGCCAGAAGACCACTGACAGTGCCAATAGTTTCATTGCAGAAGTATATACTTCCCCTATTAACCAGAAAATATCAACTTCAAATGATATTTATCACAATAGCTATAGAAGTTCACCATTTCAAATGAAGGTAGCAAAACAACTTTTGTACCTCCAGATTGGATCATTTAAAGGCTGTGCATAAGCACAACCATGTAACTCTACACAACTTGAATCATTATTGGTAGCACCTTGAGAAACTGGAACAGGTTGGAAACCTATATCAGAATTAGCTACATCCCTTGGAGCTAGTCCACACTCGTTTGTTACATCACATTCTTCAACGCTGATAAAGCATTGAGGACGCTCAGGCTTAGGTGAACTGGATAACACACGCTTTGTTTTATCAACGAAGGCAGAGTTAACTTTTCCTTTCTTATGTTTCTTTTTAATCTTCTTTTTTTGCAGCTTATTGCATTTGTTCACTCTCTGTTTGCAATTCTCCGGTTCTCCTGTGCCCTGGATTGCATCGTTTTCCACACTTTTATAGTTTTTTGTCATAGATGAGAGAGGTATAGATTGGTCAAGAGAAGGTGGTACCCCTAGCTTTTTTGCACAATCATCACAAAACCATGTAACAGCACCAGTAAAAATCACAGGCCCCTTTAAACAGTACCTGATAAAAAGGAAAATTAAGAAATCAAAGGTCAACTAAGGAGTTAAACAACATGAAATCGCAACTTTACAAATTGCAGTTTTCTATCTTTATAAAACATTGGAAGCACTTCGGTTTATCAAACCAACGATAATGGCAGCACTCCCAAGTCCAACCTTCAATACCAATAGAGATTTTAAGATTGTCTGTATGGCAGTAAAAAGGAAGGCACCATCAACTATTTACTGATGTTAAAAGCTGGCTAAAAAGGTAAATCATAATTTTGAAAGCACTTATATTAAAATCCAAAAGCATATCTATGCTTTACACAGAGATGATGGATTAAAAAAACACTACATATTATACCAAGTGATCAGGGTATTAACACTAAGCAGTGAGTATCATTTTAATTACTTTTTATGGATTTTCCAGCTACAGAGAGTACAGTCTTGTTTCCTCTTTTTAGTCGAGAAGTTCTACAGAATGTTCAAGCAGCATTTAGTGGTATTGGCATTTCAGCTAAGTATGATGAAAAGAATTTTCTATAAGTGCATCCAAGAAGGCAGAAAGAGGGCACAAACAATAAGTACCTATGTAGCGCATAAGCCTGACACCCGGTGCAAAAGACCAATGCCACTTGAAAGCCTCTATCGCCACACTTGAGACAAACAGTTTCCTACAACAAGGGTCAACAGTTGAACTAAAATGATTCACAAGACCACAAGGGCAACTCCAAACATGCCCTCTTCCACAAAGGTCATAACAGATACATGCATACAAAATCCAGAGCATTCATTATGCTTATCTTGAGTCATATATGTATCGGTTCATGTAAAAAACAATTCTAAAACACTAATAACACTTTCCCCATCTTATTGAGAGATCACAATACAAACATTTGCATAGCTGTTTCACACAAACCAACAACAGGAATCTCCAAGATGATTTACCGAAATCAAAATTCTTCAGATGTCGGTTTTCACAATCATTAAATCAAATTAAAGACAAATTACTCTAGTAGACCTTGTAAGAATCAACTATTCCTAAATTATAATCACAATTATTCTACAGAGTCAGAATGCTATGACCTTGTAATTTTCATTTATAACACACATTACTCTTACCAACCAAAATAACAGCACAAAAGAGCAAACAACGTCGCAGCGGAAGCAAGAAACTCACATCACATAAAACAAAACCATTTGCCTCATACCTTCAAAAGAAAGAGACCCACTAAACGAACACAATAAAGTTTCAATTTTATTCATAAGGGTAACATTCTTGACAACCCACAAACAGAAAATCTTACTCCATCCTCGTAAGGAAAAGGGAAAGAAAAAACTGACCATTTTGGTGAGCAATTGGTTGATGTTGGAGCAGAGCGAAGGGATAAATTGCGTTGTGAAACAGAGATTGTAGGTGTAAGAAATGTAGTTTTGATATGTGAGAGAGGGAAGTGAAGCTGAGAGAGAGAGAAACAATTGTCTGTTGGTAGAACTCGAAACTAAACTTTGGCCGTTTAGGTTCCGCTTAACATGCATAACATTCATTTTTCATTCATTTTGGCACCTTTCTTTAAAATAAGTCAAATATTAAATATATTAATTCTAATTTCAATGTAATATAATTCAAGTTCAAATATGTAATGTTGTTAAATAATCTTAAAAAAAAATTTCACCACTGTAAAATCATTTTTAACTTTAAACATTATTATCCATGTAGGATGACAAATTAATCTATGTTTAAAAAAATATATAATGAAAAAACACTTTTCTTCAAATATAAAATATAAACTATCAATAATTATAATTATTTATTATTTTAGAAGAGATATTTCTTGTCATTTTTAATATGAAAATTATAACATGATTTTTAAATTCTTATTATCATTAATGAAATTAAAGTTATTTTAATTTTTCATCAGAGTTTAATATTCATGCTCTAAAGATTTTTGCACAATTAATTAACAAAAATATATGTTAAAATATAATTTTCAAAATAATTATTATAAAAGTAAATATTATCTTTATCTTATCTATATAACGTGACTTCTAAAATCTAGTTTACAATTAATTTTACAATTTCATTTGTAATAAACTTTTTTTCATAAAAAAATTCGAACAATCTTTTTTTAATATAATATGTTGGTTAATTAATTTTTGTCCAAAGCGTTACAATATCTTAATTCAAATTATTATATATTATAATTTGTAGGAGTTTCAATCAAATACTAGCACAATCTTTATCCTTATTTAAAAAAGTTATTACATAAAATTTAATAATAAAATAATAATAATATAATCATTAGAAACTTATAAAATAATTCATTAAAATCAAACATAAATATAAATTAAAGAGATTTGTTCAATAAAGTAATAATTCAATATTATATATAAAAACATACACATTTAAATATTATTGTTAAGTAATATCATATTAATAAAAAAAAACAAATTACAATAAATTACAAAGATATTAAATATACTGTATTTGTATATATAAAAATTACTTGCATTTACATACAAACCCACTTTTTAATGTGATTAATTTCTAAGAAAAAAAAATTATGATTACAAACTTCATGTGAAGATAGAATAACTATTAATTTTTATTTTGTATTCGTTACTCGTAATAAATTATAATTAATTTTACAATAACTAATTCTTACAATTTTAATTAATGTATAATATACAATTTTATGAATTACAATTTATAAAAAAATCATTTTCTTTTCCATAATATTTCACATTCTTGATTCGCTTATGTAATCTATCGCTGCACGATTTTAGTTTCTTGTGAGCCAGTCACAAAACCTTAGAATCTGCTTTCCCTGGTCATAAGGAGTTTGAAACAAGTTTTTTGAGGAAATTACAGAGTAAAGCTGGGTCAATGAGTGATTTAAAAGTCTAAAAACACAAAGTCGATAGTGAATGATATTGTTATTAAACAAGAAAACAAGTACTTTTCCTTCTGGCTCAGATTCCTGAACACAATGTTTTCACACAAGAAGAGTCTAAAATAATCTGACTTGAATGGAGAAAATCCTAGTAAAACTGGCTTCTAGGGGTCAAATAAGGAGCTTCATCTGTGCTGTGCCAATCTCCAACGACAGACTGTGTTTCAGACGTACCATCAGGACAAATAGGCCTAATTCTCACCCTTGGTTTACTTGGAGGCAAGAGAGGAAGTGGTGCTTCCTTCTTAAGAATTCTGGCTGCTTCTCTTACTCTTGGCCTCTTGTCATCATCAGGGTGCACACAAAGAAGGCCCACCAGTAGCATCCTTTCCATATCTAGTGCATCAAAATTCCCCATCAACCTTGGATCAGCTGCCTCAACGAGTTTCCTCCTTTCCCACAAGCTCCACACATAATCCACAACCACGGTGCCATCATCTTCCACAGGCTTCCTTCCAGTTGCCACTTCCAACACCACCACCCCAAAGCTGTACACATCAGTCTTCTCAGTAGGAACACCAGAATAAACGTATTCAGGAGCAAGATAGCCCATTGTCCCTGCTGGTATAGTAGCATCCCTCGTGCTGGAACTGTGCTCATACACTTCCGCAAGCCCGAAATCCCCAAGCTTGGCATTGAAATCCGCATCAAGCATTATATTGCAGGACTTCACATCCCTATGAATGATCTGCCTCTCACACTCCTCATGAAGGTAGGTGAGAGCAGAAGCAACCCCAAGAACAATATTCTGCCTTTGTCTCCACGAAAGAACAATAGAAGAATTGAAGTTCCTATGCAGAACCTTATTGAGGCTCCCATTGGGAAGAAACTCATAAACCAGGACCAGCTCATTCCCCTCACAGCACCACCCCTTAAGCTGAACCAAATTCTTGTGGCGCAAGTAACCCACCATGGTGGCAAATTCAGTCGCAAAAGGGTTATGTAAACAATCCACGTCATTTTCCCTCTCAAATCTCTTCACTGCCACATCCCCTCCAAAGGGAAGATACCCTTTATAAACCTTGGCAGAAGCACCCTCCCCAACAAGCCTCTCACGATTGAACCCCATTGTGGCAGACTTAATCTCTGAAAGTGACAACCTAGTTGGAACTTTACTCGTCTGCAGCCTAGAACGTCGCCCTTGCTCCATATTCTTAACACCACGTTTCTTCCTTCTCAAGAAAACACATACCACAACCATCGCCGCCAAAACCGACAGCACAAACGCCGTCAACCCTCCCAACCCAAGAGCCATCTCCCCAATCTTTTTCCTCTTCTCGTTTTTCCCCATGCTCGAGCCTGAACCAAAATTCTTAGAATCTCCTTCGTAACACAAGAAACAGTCACCTTCATCGACCACGTCCATGGAGCGAGACTCATAGCCGAAAATCTTGAACTGCCAATGATGAACAAGGTAATCACTTGACCCCTCCCCATTGGAGGCGGTAAAACCGACGTGCATGAAGTCTTTAAGTCTCTCGGAAAGGTCTACTTGGGAAGCAAGAATAGGAATTGGAGGTCTGGTGGAGGAATAAGCCAGCCAAACACGTACCATCTTGATTGCATGGCGATACTCCACCCATGCAGTGATGATTGTCCCGCTCTTGAGGTCAATGCCGCGGGACAAGGCATCGACGGAGGCGAACGAGGAGGCACTGTTGAGGTCAATACCTACGTGATTGTCGTTGATGTCGCCGAGGGAGGGGTCGAAGGTGGTGTCGAATTCAACGGCGAAGAAGGAGGAGGAGGGGGAGGGTTGGGGGAGGCCCATGGATAGGGCGGGGAAGTGGGTGGAGGAGGTGATGAGGAAGGCGAGGCCGTCACCGGAGGGACAGGAGGGGGAGGAGAGGACGGAGAAGGAGAAGCGGGAGGAGAAGGAGGCGGTGGAGTTGGTTTGGGGGTCAAGAAAACGGAGGGGGTAGATGAAGAAGGCTCTGCCAATGGAGGAGGAGGAGCAGGTGGGTTGGTGGGTGGTGAGAGTGATGGCGTTGTGGGAGAAGAAGGCATCACCGTAGAGGGTGAGGTTGTCGGAGGGGAAGAATGGGAGGGAGAGTACAGAGGGGAGGAGGAGGAGGAAGAAGAAGAAGAGTGGTGATAGAGATGGACAAGGCATAGCAAAAGAGAGGTTCTTGAAATGTGGTGGCCCTTTTTGAAGAAGTTGCAGGTTTCATGGTAATGGTAGTTAGTTTTGGAGCTTTGGTCGGTGAAAGGTGTAGACTGAGTGATAAAATAAAATGGTGTGCGGGGGGATTAGATGGGATCACCAACTATACACGCCATAATACAAGGGTTGTCTTATAATTACTGTGTTTCTTAAGATGACAAAATAAATAAATAAATACATAAGATAAAAGTGTACCTTATATTTACTCAAATTAAATAGAAATAAAAGAAGAAAAATGATTCAATAAAGCTTTAATCTTTTTTATTTGATTGGATTAAAGTTTGTTCAGTACTTCGAATTAAAATTAGATTGATAAATTTCAAACTCAATAAATCTATTACATAAAAAATATATAATAAAAACATATTATTTATCTGATCATTTTATGCTTTATTATATAATATTAACATTGATTATATATATTAATATTATATATTGTTATTACTTTATAATTATTAAGAAAAGTTAAAATATGTGTTTGAGCTTTTTTTTTAATAAATGTTTATTTTGTTCGATTGACTTATTAAAGAAAAAAATCGATATATCTGAATTTAATTAATTGAGTTGAATTAAAATTTAGATTAAACTATCTAATTTAGATTATTTACATTCAAAGAAATATTATAATAGCAATTTGTATCCTTTATTGTAATCAAAGACTATATGAAATAGTTTTTAAAAAATTAACACATAGAAATTGTGTTAAAAAATTTATAATAATACTAGAAAGGCTAATTCACTTAAAAAAATGTACAAGCAGGAGATATGAATTTTCATGCTCGTGTATCTTTTATCTTTATATTTTTCAGTAAATTTGTGTTTATCTTTATCTCACAAGAAAAATAATATAAGATTTAAGTTTAAAATTTTAATTTATAATTTGAAAGTCAAATATAAAGGTAATGTAATATTAGTATTTGATAAAAACATGTTTAGGAAGGATGAAAATGAAAAGCGTAGGTTGAGAATTCACCAAAGTCCAAACCATGCCTTTGTGGGGCAAGCGCAACCTTAAAAATAAAAAGGTCCAAACAATTATTGACTGGCCCAGTTTACTTGTTTGTAAATGGGCCGGCCTTGTTTCTGAAATAATAAATTATATTTTAAGAAATTAAAACGTAAAAAACTCTTCAACTGAATTTTCTCTTTGCTAGAGAGAGGGAAAGAAATAGAAGAACAAAATAAAGAAAAATATATAAGAAATAAAGTAAAAATAAAATTTGTTATTTTTTATTATAATAATATTTGTAGTTCTTATTCTTTATTCTTTTATAATGAACAAAATAATTTTAAAAAAATACGAACCCCTAATTTATGGAAATGATTTAAAACCTGGAATTAAAAAAAATGCGAACCCCTAATGAAAGTTATGACTAGAAGAAAATAACATCTAAAACCTGGAATTAAACATGGTAAAATAGACTCAATGCAAATGAAAAACTCAATTAATTTTCCACTAATCATAGTGTGTATGGATTAGTTTTAAATTTGACCATGATTTCACACCAAAACCGATTCTAGTAGTTTCCCAAAGTTCATACACACTATAAAAGTACTTGCTACAGGACTATCGAGTGGAATCACTTTAACAAAGTGCAGGGACAACACTATATATAATTTGTGTGTTTGAGTGTTGTGACAGATTGTACTATTTTTTTATTTTATTTTTCTTTTTTTAGCTATGCTCATATGGTTGATCCGAACATAGAGTAAAGGTAGGTCATATAAATGCTCCAAGGTAGCTATGTGCCCCACCATTAGACCCAATTTACAACTTTACACATGAGTTAAATTTAGGGGATTATATAGGGTTGACGTAATAACATGTCCTGTTAAATTTAGAATGTACTGAACAAGGAACAGGGTATATATGTTTTATGGTATTATTGTTATTGTTGTTGACTATGGCAACAGTGACCTATGAGTAAGACAACAATAGGCAAAGAGTGCTAACTATTTGTTGTTTTAAAGTAAAAGGATTCATGTTAGGAATGTTGCAAGCACACCTAGTTTGGTCCCTCAACACAAAGTTAAGTTTTTGGGTGGCCTTGCCCTAGGCCCATTGCCAATGTTTCTTTTGCCAACTTGGATCCCACTTTAATGTTCTATGTGGAAAATGTAATTATGTGCATATTCATCAAAATTTTCTATTCTAAAGTTACAACATGGTCCAATATTGTTTACTTTTTATATCTTAAGACGAGTTCGTACATTACCTATCTGTTATACCAGTTTTATTTCTAAAACTCTCTTACACCATATATGTATGTGGCCATGTGCATCTTTAGCCGTTTTTTCACTAGTAGAGTGTTCCTCAAGTAGCTCACATAAAAATTATATATTAGGTCGTGAAAATTTTTCATGGTTGTTGTTAATATTGTTAATTATTGTCATAAATTGTATAATTTAAAAATATTTATTTAACAAGAATATATTTATCAATCAATTGTTTTTGTTAGGAACTCACGAGATTTTTTTTTCAAGATTCAGCACCAAATCAATATTATAACTTTTTTTCATAAAAATATAATTTAAATATTGATTAAAAATCAATAACTTAAATATAATTTTAAAATAAAAAGGGATATGAATTGAGATTGAATTCAACTCATATATATAAAACAACTTCAGCTAAATTAAACTGAGTTGTTAATAATTACAAATATTAGACTTGTGATAAAACTGCTTTGTTACTACACTATGACAAGAAATTACTCATCACAGATTGGTTCAACAAAGTTTAGTTAATCTCTTGTGTATGATGTGATTATAACATGTAAAAATATTCGTACGAATTCACCAACGTTTCACACATATAAATTGTATTGAAGTACCAATCGAAATCTTAAAACAACTCAAATCTTTATCGTTAAAAAAAAATTCAACATATTTTAGAGTTCAATCAAATATCAAATCTCCAACTATAATAAAACAGTTTTTATTAATTATATTTAAAAAATAAACTTATTTCACCCACGCAGAATGAAACTAAAGAGAAAAGGCAAGACGAGAAATAATATAAAGGGATTCACGTGATTTTCTTGTTTTGGGTTTACACCCAAAATATGCATTTGCACATTTCTGAGTTGTACGCGTCCGTGTCCATTAACAATGTTGACGAGAAGGAATTTCTTTCTATAAATACCTTGTAATTAATATGGCATTCTTAAAAAAACTTAGTTTCTGAATGGAAGTAAAAAAATGGGGTATTTTGATGGATAGAAGAATTATGTTTATGAAAAGAAAAAAAATGGGGTCCCGTGAGCATAGAAAGAGAGGGAGCAAGAGTGGTTGGTCAGTGTGATTGTGTTAAATGAAGTGGGGACCTTGGCCTTATAATTTTGGCTTCTTGTCTCCAAAGCAAAGCCTTTGGATTTTGGAACCATCTTCATCTTCATTCTATGGTTTCTCTTTTTCATCATTCCAAGCTTTGCTTCTCTTGCATCGAGATTTTACTCACTTTTTCACCCCACCACAAATCATACCAAATCAACAAAGTCGGCTTTCAAGGTGATCATGTTCCTATTATTGTAATTCTCTCTAATTATTTCCATTAACCACCAACTCCCCCACCCTTCTTCCATACCAAGCAATGCCCATTTCCCTCCACCCAAAATTAAGATACATGTATTATTTTTTTTTTCTTCCTTTGATTAGTTAACATAATAATAATTACTTAGAAATAAATATAAATATTTTATTATAAACATCACATATCAATTATTTAAAATTTAGTAAAAAATTCTTATATAATTAACTTTTTTTTAATTTTAAACAATTTTTTTCTATTTTAGATAATCTAAAAATGAAATGCATAATAAAATATTTATTTTTATTTATAAAGAATAAATTTGAGTGAAAATTTTGTTATTATTCTTACTACTGTCTATTGATTTAATTAGACTATGATTTTATTTATCATATAATAGGAATATTTTTTAGAGGAAAGAATTATGTTTAATCACCAAACATAGAAAAGAAAAAAAAAATGAGTGGTAAGCATATTCCATGTTGAATAATTTGTGTTATTTTGTGGTTGAGTGCTTTCAAATCAGAATAATATTATGTGTGAGTATAAGTAGAGGAATATTATTTGATTGAAGCACATGCAATCTTAGTTTGAAATTCACAAGTATGTAGAAATATGGTTGCAAAGTTTCTTCCTTTAACACTTTATCATATTTGAAGAGATTAATTAATCTATCATTCGCTGAAAGGAAGATTCCCACACTCAAACTACATGATTCTTCGGATGAACCGATAAGAATATACATGAAGGCTACGTTATTATATTCTGAAACCAAATATTCTTATTTTGTTACGCTTAATCTTAATAATAATATTTTTTTTTAATGTTAAAATTAGAGACTGAAAAAGTAGAATGGATGAACAACCAGCAAAACTAATGAGTGAAAAACATTATATATAAAATAGATGATTGAATATTTATTTTGTAGTGTCAATGGTTTAGATTATACAAGGTGCAAAGAGGACCAATAATTTTTATGTAAGATCTATTGCACAACCACTAATCACACAAGTAGATATAAGTAAAGGCTATACTATATACGTTCCTTTTCAGTGGCAACTTCTCCCCAACCAACAACCAGGGAAACATCGTCCAGACATATGGTTGCTCACCTAACAAATCACAAATTTGGTCATGTCTGGCTTCAGAAAAAGCAAAGAAAGATGCATTGAACGTTGCTGAAATTAATCCTGAATTTGGAACCAATTTAGTTATAAAAAACAAAAATGTTGGATTAAAATGTGAACTGTGCGTAATATTTCTTAGGTCGCGTTTGGTGAAGAGGCTTAGGAATATAAAATTAAGATGTGATCCTTAGAGTAGTTTGGATTTGTTGAGTGGGAGAATAGGTTTTGAGGTAGCTAGTTGTTGATTATGATATGGTATTGGTATTGAGATAGACCATTGTGATGACCCTGGC